TTTTTGTTTTTATTTTTACCTTTGCCTTTATCCATGTGCGTAGTCATCTTTACTTTCATTCTTGTATTGGTCTTTTGCTAAGTGTTATTCTTTAACCTTTTATTAGCAAATTTTTGTTAAATTAATACCATATGCATACACACAAGAAGTACTTGTTTCAGCCCCAACCATTTCCGGTGCACCATTTCCGTGGCAATATTTCCGTTGCATCATTTCCGTGTGCAATTTCCGTTGAATTTGCCAATTTACTCCCAACCAACCAACCGCCGCTAAAGAAGTTTCACTTCAAAAAGTCCCTGAATTTTGAAGATATTTTACTAAAATATTTCACATAACCGTTTTTCAATATTATCTTAACTTTTCCATAAAATCATCGAAATCGGTTCACTAAAACATCTAGCTTCCATAAAACTGATTGATCAGAGACGTTGTTTTGCGTTATAACTCCTCCAATTAAAAAGGGTAAAATTTAGTATAGGTTCAATTTAACATATAGCACGCATACAATTTATTATTCAGGTAAAACACATATCTTAGTTGTATTGGAGCTATATGTTAATGTGAACCTATTTAGATAATTTTAAGGAGTAATTAAAGTAATATTAAAAATCTGTTATGTGCAAAATTTTAGTAAAATAACTTCAAAACTGAGGGAGATATTTACAAAATAGTTAAAATTTAATCATATTTTCAAGTACCGTTATCTCTTAAACCGGAGCCAATCTGGTAAAACGGGGCATGCCATTGAATTTAGAATGTCCCAGTTAAGTGAGTTCAGCTTTCCAAATCTTTGCTCAAAGTTTACAACTTGAACAGCGTAATTTGCACCCAGCTTATTCTTAACTTTTGGGGAACTTGATGAAAATGAATTACACTTATATTAATCGATTTATTAAGAGATTACGAATAAAATTATATATAAAACATAGGTGTGCTCACAAATTTAAAAATTAAATTTTTTTTTTAAAGTGTACCTATTTTTTAGATTTGCCCATATATTCTTGTACCTATCTCTAATTTTTACTTTTATTTCTAGAAATGGTTCGATAACGGCCCACCTACGACATTTTGGCTTTCCGGATTCTTCTTCACTCAAGCATTTCTCACCGGTGCGCAACAGAATTTTGCACGCAAGTACGTTATACCAATCGATCTGTTGGTTTTCGACTACGAAGTTTTGCACATGGAGGAGGACCAAACTAAAGGCGTGGCTGCCCCAGCTGATGGCGTCTATGTGTATGGGGTATTTCTGGAAGGTGCATGTTGGGATCGCGTAGGTAATTGGTTAGCAGAATCACGCCCGCGTGAGTTATTTGATCACATGCCAGTGATTTGGATGAAACCTGTAAAGCGTAGTGATCTCAAAGAACGACACGTCTACATTTGTCCGTTATACAAGACAGCGGAACGTCGCGGTGTGCTCTCCACCACAGGTCATAGTACGAATTTTGTTGTGGCAATGCTTCTGGAATGTAATCCGGAAACAGATTTATCACATTGGATTGAGCGCGGGACGGCGTTGCTGTGC